GCACTCCCTGTCCTTTCTGTTTTGTTTGTTGGATGCTACTGTTTTGCTGTGATAAAATGGGTTCTTGGACAGTTGGAATATAAGCTTTATTGTGTGTTTAAACAAATGGCATAACAGTTGTCATGGTTTTGCATTTTTGGGAAAATATAATTTGTTGATGCATTCATGTGCCATTTTACAACATACTTCCAATAAGATTTTGAACTATTTCTCTGATACTAATTAAAAGAAGATTTCCATATGTGCATTTTGCATATGTGTTTTTAATAGTGTTTAACAGTCTACACGTTGGCTTCACGATAAAATTGGTAACAGCAGAACACAGTATGAAGCATTAGTTTCTATAAAATAATTAACCATTTCAAATATACAAAACTATAAACATACTAAAAATAAAATGGAATAGTTCAAAGACCACGTAGTTGATTTAGACTGTCTTTTGCTAAAGGACTCAAATTATCATTTTCTTTTTACTGCTTTAAAGGAGCATCCTCCTTGGTGCGTTTCTTTTGTATAATATGGTAATGACCTCGCTAAGTTTGATCTGAGTGTCTTACTCAATTGCAAGCAGGAGATGGTCGGTAAGCCATTTTCTCCACACAGACTTCTTAGTTTGTTCTTAATAACTTTTAACCTTGAAAATGATCTTTCCACAGAAGCTGTTTTCACTGGCACTGTTGCATAGATTTGTATCATCTTCCCAAAGGTTGGAAATTTAAACTGGCCCCTATTTTCCCTCAGTATGGCAAACATTTCTCTGAGGTCTTTTGAAGGAAAGCTGGAGTGGAAGACTTTTAGTTCTGTCTTCAGCTGGTCCTCATCCTCTTCATATAAGTCAGAGGATGCATACAGCTTAATTTGATTCTGTGTTTGTGTTGTTTATCCAGTTGGAATGCACTGTTAAGTATTGAAAGGACTGAATGATTTTGTCAATGGAACATTTGGGTTTGTCCCTTTTGAACCTCCTGTTGCGCTCCTCAGTCATAGTATCCAGAGAAGTACCAAGTACTCCTAAAATATGCCTCCACAGACTCAAACTGAACAACTTGAGACACTTTTGAACTTGACGAAAAATGGGCTACTGGACCAAGAAGGAATTGGGCTCTGAAAGTATGCTACTACTCCGGTAACATGCAAAGGATGTGGGAGAAATGGTGACTTTTATCTGATATCCATAAATGGCAACTACTCTCACAACTTGGGATTGACAAGTTCCAGAACCACTGTTTTGGCAAGGGGGAATCAGGACTCCAAGTCAGAGGAGATTTAACACCAATCAGAGATTGGGTCCAATCTCATGCACCACCAAGCCTCTATCTGTGCATGTCTCTGGTTAGGCGAACTTTAGCCATCAAAATCAATTTATTTGCATATTTCTTTTTATGGCACTAGTTGCTCATTTTTTTTCCACAGTAGGCTGACAAGAAAGGGGGTATGAGAGAGGGGGAGGACATGCAGCAAAGGACCACAGGTCGAATTCAAACCTGGGTCGCCGCATTGAGGACTAAGGCCTCTTTACGTGGGTCGTGTGCTCTAACCACTGCGCCACCTGCATGCCCATTTGCTGCCTATTTCTCTATAATATAATACGCAAGAGGACTGAAAAAATTTAAATAGTTATCTGATTTTTAGATTTTATTTCAGTATAATGTGAGAAAAAAGTCAGAATTCTGACTTTAATCTGAAAATTCTGAATTTTTTCTCAGAATTCTGAATTTGATCTCAGAATTCTGAGTTAATTTTGACAGCCTACAAATATATTAGCATCAAGCCATGGCCATGTCTGCTTTAGGGACTAAACTAGATTTCTTGTTTTAATCACCTTCTGCTTTAGCATCACCGGGGAACCCTCAGGCACATAAAAAGTCACCTAATTCCATAATTTTCCACCAATGTGTTACTGGCCCCCGCACTCCGAAACAACTTACGTCTTTGTCAGTAAAGCTGAGTGCTCCCACATATCTTGCTTCATGGAAGATCCAAAATTTTGAGATTAAAGTCAGAATTATGAGGAAAAAAGTCAGAATTCTGATTTTTTCCCCCCTATATTATACTGAAATATTTAAAAATCAGTTCATTTTATTTTATTTTATTTTTTTTTGTGGCACTAATCCTCTTCCATAATATAGCGTCCTTTAATCGACCTTTAATCATACTATGTATACAAACAGAAGATGAAATGGTACTCATGGAAAAATCTGTTTCAAAATAATAATTCAGCTACAGTCTTTATAGATGCTTCATTTGTGAAACATAGATGGAGCACACGTTTACTGACCAAAAGCCTTAAAAGTCACACGTTTTCCTTGTCAGAGACGTTCAAAATAAGTACTTTTACCTTTCGTCCACTAGATGGCAGTAGACATTAACTTGCTGATGCAGGATGGTTATGCTCTGATCCACAATCTGGGGACCATAATTGACCTAATTACTTTTGTCACAATGGTCTATAACAGGTACTGTGAATGATGTAGTTACTTAAATGTTTGATTACCAAAAAGGTTGTTGCAGATGTTATTACTAAATTCCCACACACTTGGTACTTCCTGAATGTTATCTTTTTTTATTGACAAACAATGCAAAACGTAAGGGAAAAAAGCAATATGTATATATATATATATATATATATATATATATATATACAATTTTGTTTGTTTTTTTTGCAAGAAACTCACTCGATGGAGGCAGACAGTAAGGTATTGCCAGGGCACTTCACACTCAGTTGGAGTAATGATCATGTTCAATAGGTTTCTGGAAATGTGATTAACCTCATAAGTGATGTTGATTGAATTTAATGAAGTAAATTATATTTTGATCTTTATAGGGGTACAACAGATGGTTACAAAACAAACATCTTTATGCTTTCTTGAGCAAGATGGTGCACAGCAAATCCAACATGCTCAAATCAACACTGTCAGATTTGATTTTAACACCCTTGAAGTGTCTATATGTGTCCACACCAGCGACTGTTAGTTTGACTCTTTTTGGAGAGTTTGCATTGTAACTCTTATTTAGTGTTACATTATAAATATTTCTGGAGTTGATAATTTACCACTTAATTACACCGACTAGGAGTTAGAATTGGAAGATTAACACTCTCATGGAATGTTTTCCTAACTGCATAGGAATTATTCTCTAAATACTAAAAATTTTACTTTTCTGAACGTGTAAAAATCCCTTTAAAAAAATAAATAAATAAAGAAGCAATGTTTGTTTTTTTCATCAAATATTTATTTCAAAAGTGCATCACAATTGGAAAATATTGTTTCAAAACATGTAATAATGTGAAACCTTTGCCAATTTCCACTTCAATACTTTGCTTTGTAACAAAATTCTGAAGATAACTAAATTTAAACTAAAAAATATTTTCATGCACTGCAGAGGAGGTTCATTTCTTTATTTAAACTGCAGTTTGCTGCCCTGGAGGTCGATGGTCATCCGGCCTTCACTGTCCGACGCATCGTGGACTCCCGTCGACGAGGTCGCGGTTGGCAGTACCTCGTCGACTGGTAGGGCTACGGACCGGAGGATCGTCAGTGGGTTCCGGGCTCGTACATCCTCGATCCTGCCCTTATCGAGGAGTACGAGCGTTCCTGCCCTTCGACCTCTTCCGGACCGCCAAGGGGCGGTCGTTGAGGGGGGGGGTACTGTTGGGAGCTGGAGAAATTCCACCTTTCTCCAGCAGAGTCCGCCGTGGATCCTCTGAGGGAGCCTCCTGCACAGCTGGAGGATCCACTACTTAAGCTGTCTTCAGACCTTGCCTCAACGCCGCAGTGTTGTTCCAGTTGGTCAGCGCTTAAGCCTAGATCCTCAGTGAAACTCTATGACTTTGAATCCAGCCTGGATTCTAACTATAGTCTCTGTCTTCCAGGAAACCTGTGTCTCCTCTGTGAAAGCTCAGGAAGAGCTAACCTGCCGAGCCGACCCTCAGAGCCAAACCTGAAGAATCTCAAGGAACCTCCAAGCAGCTCTGGACTAGAGCTGGGAAACCCAAAACCAAGGTCTGTTCATTCTAGACGTGAGACGCTGAAGCAGCAAACGGACTCTGCTGATGAACTCCTCTCCAGATCCAACAGTGACTCTCCCAAAGCTAATCTCAAGAACCCTCGAGGTACAATCAGTAATCTTCTGGAAATCAAACCTCTGTTGGCAACGCTAACTGAACCGTCTCTCACGCAGACTCCGGTGAACCAGTATCCAGGCCCCGAACCTGAACCAGTACATTCTGTGTGCTTGTGCATAATAAACTTGTTAAACTTTCATCCCTGTGTCCGTCAGTGGTGTTCTGCATTCTTGGGTCGCTTTTAGTGAACCCATCATGACAGTTTCTCTTAAACACTAAACCTACTTTTAACACAAACCAACCGCTGTGTCAGTCTTCACACCTTATGTTTCACACTTTTCTCATCTCATACATTTTAGACATATATAGACTTTTCAAAGAAGCATGTAAGAGATATAAATTTTTTCTCACTCGTCTAAGCTTCATAGTGTATGCTGAATTTTACTGAAATATTATTGAGGATGTAGAATACAAAAAACTAATATATCACTTCTCTTCAGCAGAAGAACTCTTTGCTATGAATTTGTTAGAAATGACTAACGTGTCTGCACTTCAAGTTTCAAGTCTCTTCATAGAAAGGTTTCTTAGAAGAGGAATTAACAGCTACTGCTGGAAGCAGAAATGTTTTTGCTTAAGATCTGAGTATTATTATCAGAAAAATAGCTTGTGCAATGATTAAAATCAACATGAGCAGAAATAAAAGAAGTCTTGCCATCATGTGAACAGATGGGTGTTATTTAAAAAAAAAAGCCTGTGCATAAAGTCTTCCTTAAAAGTATATAATGTTAGTATAAAGTAGATTATGTGGCTTCCCCAAAAAAACTAAAACCACACAACTACCACCAACTACCACAGTTTTGTTTAGTTTTTTTTTCTCTGTCTGTTTCCTCTTTAAATGGGTGGGGTATTATCTGGGCTCATTCTCTCCTCTGCAGGCATCAAAGAAACACGGAACATCAACATGCCGTGCAACTTCAGTGGTGCCGTGCTGACTAGAGTGCTCCCTCCGCTACTGGTCACCGAGTGCATCCTGGGTCTGTTTGGAAATGGTTTGGCTCTGTTCATCTTTTGCTTCCAACTGAGGCCGTGGAAAAGCAGCACTGTGCTGCTCTTCAACCTGGCAGTGACTGACTTCATGCTCATCCTGGCTCTCCCCCTCCGCATCAGCTATTATCTCTCAGGGATCAGATGGAGGTTCAGTGAAGCAGTCTGCAAAATTAGCCTCTTCATGCTGGCCATGAATCGCAGCGGGAGCACCTTCTTCTTGATGGCTATCGCCTTGGACAGGTACATGCGTGTGGTGCATCCTCACCATCCCATCAACTCTCTAAGTGTGGGTAAAGCTATGGTGGGAGCGCTTGGGCTGTGGCTGGTCCCCATCACAATGACAGTCCATGTCTTCTCGCTGCAACACATCAACACCACCTACTGCGAAAGCTTCATTGTGGACACAAAGACCAAAGGAAACCTGTCCTGGCATAAGTTCACGTTTCTCTTCTCTTTCTACATGCCTCTGCTAGTCATTCTCTACTGCACCTTCCACATCATCAGCCACCTGAGGAGGAGACAGCTGGCCCACCAGGCCAAGTTTAGAAAAGCTCTGTACTTCATCGTGGTGGTGGTGGTGCTGTTCATCCTCTGCTTCCTTCCAAGCAACATTACTGTGCTTGCCATGTGGATCAAGATGTCCCAAGGCTTTAAGTGTGCTGATATGGAGGAGCCAACCACAGTTTTCTACATCACCATCAGTTTGACTTATCTCAACAGCGTGCTGGACCCCGTGGTCTACTATTTCTCCAGCCCGGCTTTTAAGAACATCTGTAGGAAAACTCTGCATCTGCCACAGACAGCAACCGGTGAGAGCACAGAAAGAAAAACACGTGAGACAGGTTCTCATTCACTGAGCCAACTCTGATCAGAGGAAACAGATCTGCAGATTCAGAACTAAAATCCCATGAGAAAGGAATCATGTATCCCCAATTAGCATCGTGTTTGAGTGAAAAGGCAAATAAGATGTGGTTTGTTCCTTCCCTTATTGCTATTAGAAATATGTTATTTGCACTTCTCTTATTTTCTTGCACAGCCATATGTCTGCGTGTTTATATATAGCTTTCCAATAATGCACTTGTATTTCTTCTAGCATTTTATAGGAATTTATTTTATTCTTTTTTAGTTAGATTGAGTAGATAACTTTATTTGGACTTCGTTTGTCTAACCTCATATGTATGTAATAGTAGTTTTAATGCATATTAAGGAAATGTTCAATAAAGATACATTAAAATAAATATTCTGGCTCTTTAATAGTTTTATGGTTCATAAACACTTTGACTGAGGTGTCTTTATGCATTACTCTAGCCACAACAACAAGGATATGAAAGTTTTTCATCACAGGGTTTTTTAATCAGCAAGACTTTAAATTCTGTTTTAGAATGTTCAATAATAAAAGCAAACTTGCTAAATTGATCTGACCTTTTTATTAGGGATGCACGATATTGGGATTTTGGCCGATATCCGATATGCCGATATTTTAAAACTCATGTAGCCGATAGCCGATAACCGATACCGATGTTAAAGCTGGACAAAAATAAGTAGTCATTGAAAATAGCAGTTTTGTTATCCATTTCTGACACTTTGAAAAATAATATACTCAAATATATTTTCATATGCTGATATCAAATTGATTTTTAAAAACACAGTATCGATCTATTTTACTTTCAAAATCTCGTGAAATGTCATAGTTCTGTTACAAACTCTTGTGATATTTTGCTAATTCTTGTGAGATTTTGTTAGTAAAATAGATCGATACCGCATCAATATATCAACGTATAAAAATATGGCAAAATTTCGTGAATTTTCGGAGGATTTCATAGCATAACGATGACATATAGCAATATTTCATTAGTAAAAGATTGATGTGGTGTTTTTAAATGGCAATATATCAGCATATGAATATGTTGTGATATTTTAATGTATCAATATTTTTTCCCTCTTTAGAAGTTTTTAAGTCTGTAAAAAATAAGTTTTTGAGGAAGAAGAAGTATTTTTTATTTTTTTTTTTGACTTTAGAAACTCAGAAGCTGATCAAATATCGGGTTAAATATCGGCGGGGTGGCCGATGTCCGATATTCAGTTTTAAGGCCGATACAGGCCGATACCGATGCCGATTATATCGTGCATCCCTACTTTTTATATTTTGAAACAAACCTAAATGCACTTTATTGGAATTTTAAATATTTGTGTGAGACAAGTGAGACAGTTGGTGTATAACCTCTCATGAAAATAATGTCTGTGATTCTCATTATGTCTAGAATAAGGAGAAGTTGCAAACAGTATTATTTCCATGGGCCTTAAATAGTGTAAAAGCATGTCTAGATGCAAAAAAACATGGAGCACAATATTTAACATAAAACCTGGGATGTTAAAATGAACTTTCTACGAAACCTTGCAGCAAATCCATTTTCCACAATTTTTAACCTGCGATGACATTTTCTGACAGCCAGGCACATTTTTTAAATCCATAACAAGCTAAACAACACTAAAAGTTACCAAATAAAATAAAATCTGGCTCTAACAAATTAATTCAAGCAGAAAGAGCATCAAACCTGGTGTTATCCATTGGTTTGTTTAACAGGCAACCTCAGACCTGATAACTATTGTGGTAAAAGGTACAGGTGCTGGTCATAAAATTAGAATATCATGAAAAAGTAGATTGATTTCAGAAATTCCATTTAAAAAGTGAAACTTGTATATTATATTCATACATTACATACAAACTCATATATTTCAGATGTTTATTTTGTTTAATTTTGATGATTACAAATGACAACAAATGAAAATCTCAAATTCATCATATCAGAAAATTAGAATATTGTGAAAAGGTTCAAAATTGATGGCCCCTGGTGCCACACTCTAATCAGCTAATTAACTCAAACCACCTGCAAAAGCCTTTAAATGGTCTTTCAGTCTAGTTCTATAGGCTACACAATCATGGGGAAGACTGCTGACTTGACAGTTGTCCAAAAGACGACCATCGACACCTTGCACAAGGAGGGCAAGACACAAAAGGTCATCGCTAAAGAGGCTGGCTGTTCACAGAGCTCAGTGTCCAAGCACATTAATAGAGAGGCGAAGGGAAGGAAAAGATGTGGTCGAAAAAAGTGTACAAGCAAGAGAGATAACCGCACCCTGGAGAGGATTGTGAAACAAAACCCCTTCAAAAATGTGGGGGAGATTCACAAAGAGTGGACTGCAGCTGGAGTGAGTGCTTCAAGAACCACCACACACAGACGTATGAAAGACATGGGTTTCTGCTGTCGCATTCCTTGTGTCAAGCCACTCTTGAACCACAGACAGCGTCAGAAGCGTCTAAAGAGAAACAGGACTGGACTGCTGGTGAGTGGTCCAAAGTCATGTTCTCTGATGAAAGTAAATTTTGCATTTCCTTTGGAAATCAAGGTCCCAGAGTCTGGAGGAAAAGAAGAGAGGCACTTCATCCACGTTGCTTGAAGTCCAGTGTAAAGTTTCCACAGTCAGTGATGGTTTGGGGTGCCATGTCATCTGCTGGTGTTGGTCCATTGTGTTTTCTGAGGTCCAGGGTCAACGCAGCCACATACCAGGAAGTTTTAGAGCACTTCATGCTTCCTGCAGCTGACCAACTTTTTGGAGATGCAGATTTCATTTTCCAACAGGACTTGGCACCTGCACACAGTGCCAAAGCTACCAGTACCTGGTTGAAGGACCATGGTATCCCTGTTCTTAATTGGCCAGCAAACTCTCCTTACCTTAACCCCATAGAAAATCTATGGGGTATTGTGAAGAAGAAGATGCAATACACCAGACCCAACAATTCAGAAGAGCTAAAAGCCACTATTAGAGCAACCTGGGCTATCATAACACCTGAGCAGTGCCACAGACTGATCGACTCCATGCCACGCCGCATTGCTGCAGTAATACAGGCCCAAGGAGGCCCAACTAAATACTGAGTGCTGTACATGCTCATACTTTTCATGTTCATACTTTTCAGTTGGCCAACATTTCTATAAATCCTTTGTTTTTATTGGTCTTCAGTAATATTCTAATTTTCTGATATGATGAATTTGAGATTTTCATTTGTTGTCATTTGTAATCATCAAAATTAAACAAAATAAACATCTGAAATATATGAGTTTGTATGTAATGTATGAATATAATATACAAGTTTCACTTTTTAAATGGAATTACTGAAATCAATCTACTTTTTCATGATATTCTAATTTTATGACCAGCACCTGTATATTGTTAGTTTGTGGAGGTGATAATAAGGAAAGCAGTCATGCAGACTGGTAGTGAGCTTAATCAGGCTGGTAACAGGCTTGAGAAGGCAGACAGGGGCAGATACTGTTGGTTATAAGTTGATGCAGGCAGACTGCAAAGAGGAAATAGGCATTTGAGCAGATTAGTGGCAGGCTTAAAAAAATCTAGATGGGCAGAAGCAGTCCAGAATGAGACTAGAGGCTAAAAGAATCCAGTGAGGGCAGGTCAAGCACAGAAGGTAGGCAATGAACACTGACACTGGAAAGAACATCCCGTAAAAATTCAAAAAATATCCACTGGACTTGGTTTCCAAGATTTGAAGACGTTTCGCCACCTCTCCAGGAAGCTTTCTCAATTCAAATGTCTGGAAAGAACATGTCATAGACAAGGAGGGGTTGACAGTCTGATAGGGAATGAACAAGGGAGACAGGTACTGTATAAATAGGTAAATTATATGGATCAGATGAAAACTTAACGCAGTCCGTCTCTCTGACGTCACATTGTAGACAGCTGTTACTTTAAAACTGACTATGGGAAACCAAACATATTCTTCAATTGGACCACCGTCTGAATCAAATAGAGGCATGACCTACCACATAGACATCACTTTATCTCTGGCTCATTTGACAAATGGATTGCATCCCTCCTAGAAGATGCTTTAAGCTGAACTCCAGGGGAGTTAATGTGAAGCTCGGGTGGAGCTGAGGTGGAGCTCAGGATTGAGTTGAAGTGGAGCTCTGATGGTGTTGATGTGGAGCTCATGTGGAGCCCTGGTGAAGCTCTGGTGGAGCAGAGGAGGAGCTCAGGTGGAGTTCAGGTGAAGCTGAAGTGAAGCTGAGGTAGAGTTGAAGTGGAGCTCTGTTGGAGTTGGGGTGGAGCTGAGGTGGAGCTCTGATGGAATTGAGGTGAAGTTCAGGTTTCGGTTGAGCTCTGGTTGAGCTCTGATTGAGATGAGATAAAGTTGAGGTGTGGTTGAGGTGAAGCTCAGGTGCAGTCAGGTGGAGATCTGGTGGAGTTGGGGTGGTGTTTATGTGTGGTTGAGGTGGAGCTGAAGTGCAGCTGAGGTGAAGCTCTGGTGGAGTTGAGGTGAAGCTCTGGTGGAGCTGAGGAGGTGTTCAGATAGAGCTCATGTGGTGTTGAGGTGGAGCTCAGGTGGAGTTGATGTGGGGTTGAGGTGAAGCTCTGGTGGAGCTGAGGTGAAGCTGAGGTAGAGTTGACGTGGAGCTCTGTTGGAATTGGGGAGAAGTTCAGGTGTGGTTGAGGTGGAGCTCTGGTGGCACTCTGGTGGAGCTCAGATGGAGCTCTGATGGAGCTGAAGTGGAGTTGAGGTGGGGTTTAGGTGGATCTCTGGTTGAGCTCTGGTGGAGCTCTGATTAGGATGAAGTGGAGTTTAGGTGGTGCTCTGGTTGAGCTCTGGTTGAGCTCTGGTAGAGTTGAAGTGGAGTTGAGGTGGGGTTAAGGTGGTGCTCTGGTTGAGGTTTTAATAATGTTGTGCAAGTTTACCAGAAGTTTATGAATATATTAAATAAATAGAACTGGGAGATATAGTTTAATAACAGGTCATTCAAATCAAGGGTAAAACCAATTAATGATTATTAGTTGTTTATTACTTAGTTAATTGTCTCTGTTCATTTAAATGTTACTAAAAGGAGGGTGAATTTGGCCTGGAGATAAATCATTCACTGCATAAAATAACCATATAACCAAGCATAAAAAAGACCATGGGTTTGTCACAGTCTTGGTTCTGTTATGTTTTCTTTTGAGTATTCAGTTTTACTTTGCTCCATGCTTTCTGGTTTTATTGGTTTAATTCCTATTTCGTTGCGTTTTCCGGTTATATTGGTTTAATTCTTGTTTTGTTGTGTTTTCTGGTTATATTTTAGTTCTAAGGTTTTTATTCGTTGCCCTCTTGTGTCGGTCTACTC